GATTTTTAAGGATCATACAAAAGCAATATTTTTTCCGGAACTTCAAAACCGCTGCACCTGTCTTTGCAAAAAAAAATTAATTATTTTTTTAAACATGAGAGAATATCAGATATGTCTCAACGTCGAACCAAAAATCTAAATCATATATATATATATATATATATATATATATATATATATATATATATATATATATATATATATATATACACACATATATATATATATATATATATATAAATATATATAAATTAATGACTTATATTAATTGCTTTCAAATTAATTAAATGCGAGTTATATTACTATTTTTTGTTTTGAATAATTGATTTAACTCTAGGGTAGGTGAAACGTAAAACAACATTTTTATTATTTAGATTGAAACATGTATCAAAGTGCTTTAGTGTAAATAATGGACATAAGTATACTAAATAGTTAAAAACTGTTAATTAAAGACAGATATATACAAATAAACATACGTGATGTATCCAAATAAATTTATCACCTATGACAAAATTAAATTTTAAATTAAGACAATATATTTAAATTTGTCATTATAGAATGGTAAAAAATTTAGTGCAAGCCATGAAGCCTATAAATTTGGTTTGCTCATTAAGTGGATTTTTTTACATAAGCGAAGATTATGTTTTGAGGAAAAAAAAGATGCGATTTGGAATTCTCGAATTTTTGGAAATAATCAGATGCTGCTTTTATATTTACATGGTTTTACACATAACTATAATGTATACTTGGAATAGTTTCTCCTGGCGCAGTGTGTATAATGCAGTTGGATCTTTATCGATTCTTGCAGATTATTTAGAAGTATTCCTTAATATAAATTATTTTTTAAAAAATCTGAATTTTTGATTCGATATAGTGTAAATTTAATGTTTTTCAATCGCAATATTTTCACAAATCTGAATCAATATTAGTATATACGTCAAATATAAAGTTGACTAAAGGGTATATCAATAATGTAAATTGTACCCATACTTTCCATTCAAACAACTTTGTAATTGATGAATATAAACGTCATGAGCTGGGAAATTGCTTCATTTATATACTATATAAATTTTGAAAATATTTAATTTATTTATTTACATTCCAGGTAGTAATTATTCTTTCAACGGAGATCATCTATAGCAAAAAATCCATCGATTTACTGAAGAAACTTCACAATGTTGATAAGATTTTACATACAGATCTAAATTATAAATATCTTAGATCTTTTTTTTTTTTTTTTTTTTTCTTTTCTTTATTTGGCCTCTAATAACAATACAGCCACATACAATATTATATTAACATAATTTATATATTTATACCACTTAATCTAATAAAATTAACCAAAATACTATAGCACTTTACACTTCTTAATATTGTAAGTAAATTAACTGGTTTGTCTATGCAATTGCACTCATGCAGCTTATTCAACATATCTTGTCTGTTTTTTTCAAATAGGCCACACTCCAATATTAAATGTTCACCACTTCCAACTGCTTTACCACACCTACATGCATTCGAAGCTGCAACACCTATCCGATGCAGGTGTGATGGAAAGCTTCCATGGTTTAATCTTAACCTCGTTAATGTTACTAAGGTTCTTCTATCCTCGAATTTGAAACTTTCTTGCCACATTCTGCTTCCCACTGCTGGATTGCATATTCTATAATATGCCCCTCTAGTCTCATTTGGATCGATCCATACTTTTTGCCACTCTTTAAAATTTCTATTTTTACACCGTTTCACATAATCCTTGTATGTTGCTACGTGCATAATAGATCCATTTTTTGTTGCTTGTTTTGCTAATTTATCAGCTATTTCATTTCCTTTGATTCCTGAGTGAGCCTTAATCCATATTATTTTAATGGTATACCCTATTCTTATCAGCCTATTAATATCGTACCACACTTCATATAACAATATATCTGATGTCTGAGTTTTGTTGTATAAATTTTGTAGAGTTTCTATACTACTTTTACTGTCGGTGAATATAACTGTCTTCATTATTTTGTGCCTTTGAATTAACTCTATTGCCTTTTTAATAGCAAAAATTTCCGCAGTAAAAATTGAAGCAAAATCAGGCAGTTTATATCCCAACTTAATGTTCAAATTTTCCAAATATATTGCACAACCCACTTTCTGATCAAGCTTAGATCCATCCGTGTAAATTACATTGTAATCTCTTATTTTTGTCATGTTTATATTAAAAATATCATCAGAAATGCTATATATATCCAGATAAAGTGTATTATAATATGGGTGTTTTGTATAATTGATACCTTCCTCTCTTATTTTATTTACATACAAATAGCTATTAACTAGGCATGGTTTTTTTCGCTTTTTCCAATACTTATATATTGTAGTGTCTATTGAAATTTTACCTACTTTTTCTATAATTTGATTATCCTGTATTATTATTTTTTTAAGTATAAATTTGTCACAAATGAACTGTCGTCTTAGGTATAAAGGCATCTCCCCACTTTCCACCAAAAGGGCATTAGTGGGAGTGGATCGCATAGCCCCCATACAAATTCTCAAACAGTTATATTGAGCTTTGTCCAATACCCTACAGTAAATCGAATTATTAAATACAATACATCCATAATCAAAAATGGGTCTTATTAGTGTTTTATAAAGATTCAAGGACGCAATAGGGTGTGATCCCCACCATGTACCATTCGTCATTCTCAAAATATTTATTCTTTTTTCTACTCTTTTAAGCACATAATCCATGTGTTGTTTGAAAGATAACTTTTGATCAAATATAACCCCTAAGAATTTGTTATATTTTTGTACTTTAATGATGTGATATTTACTATTTATCTTATCCACATGATTAATATTTCTGTGTCTTGTATAAATACCAATTGAACTTTTATTATCTGATAATTCCAGACCTTTCTCTTCCAGCCACACATGAAAGCGATCAATATTCTTACTCATTACCTCACAAGCTTCTTGCAGGCTTGCTTTTTCTACGTAAATAACCACATCGTCCGCATACTGCAAAATTTTTGTTTCTGGCTCCAAGATCCCTTCTATATCTCTTACGTATATCGCATATAATAAAGGGCTTAAAATACCTCCTTGTGGTAATCCTTTATATATTTTTCTTGGTCCAATTATTTTACCATTTATCCTAAAATATACTTCCCTTTCAAAGATATTATTAGTAACTGCCCTAATAAAATTACATGGTAATCCGATCTTTGACATAGTTTCTGATAATGTTTTAGGTAAAACATTATCGTATGCACCCTTGATGTCACTAAAAAGTGCCACAACATACTTATTTTTCGTAAAGGATATATGTAAGTCACTAATAAAATTACTTAAACTATCCTGTGTTCCCATACCCTTCCTAAAGCCAAATTGACTTTTTGGTAGTATTCCATATTTTTCACTCCACCACTCCAGTCTTCTTTTAATCATTCTGTCCTTAACCTTTGAAACACAGGATGCAAGAGAAATCGGTCTATACGTGGAGATCTCATTCGCATCTTTATTAGGTTTTTTGATTAAAATTGTAATATACTTATTCCAGGCCCCAATTACTTCCGGATTTGTCCATACTTTATTCAACAATTTTAGTAAAATCTCTTTTGCCACCATTGGCAAGTTTATGAGCATAGAATAAAATATTCCATCCATACCTGGTGCGGTATCAGTACCTTGAATTAAAGCAATTTCTAATTCCCACAATGTAAAAGGTTTCACTAATAGGAATGTTTCGCGTCCAAAAACCTTTTTATCCACATTGAAATAATCATTTCTAACACTAGATGGAGCATAAGTATCAATAATATTATCAATCATCATTGGGTTAACGTTTTCTTGTAAATTTTCAGGTTCTATATATTTTTTCAAACATTTAATTGTTCTAAATACTTCCCTGGTAGACGTATTTGGTTTGATATTATTTGTATATTCATGCCAACTATCTCTCTTCTTTCTTCTGAATATCGTTCTGATTTCAGCATTAATGTTTTTACATATTAAATAATTATGGTAGTTAGATTTCTGCCTATAATTTTTTTCTGCGTCTCTTCTTTTCCTAATAAGTTCGTCGCACTCATTATCCCACCAAATAGGTTTAAAGTGTTTGATATTGGAGCATATTCTCTTTTTGGTATACTTTTCTCCGCTGCAATATTGATTATGTTCATAAATTCTGTATAAGCAACAACCGGGTCATTTACTTCAAAATCATTTGAGTAATACTCAATTACTTTTTGATATTTTGTCCAGTCGGCAGCTTTGCAATTCCAATATTCCCTAGTTCTATTTATAATAGGTGATTCTCTTAGTTGCATCATTATTGGATAATGATCAGATCCAAGAGAATGTTTCCTGACATTCCATACAATTTTATGTGCCACCTCGTGAGTACACAATGTAATGTCTACCACTGTCGAACTATTCTTAAAATTCAAAGTCGGATTCCCGTCATTTAATATAATTAAATTGTTGTCATTAATAACTTCCAATAAGTTATTGCCAATCTTATCATTCCAATTACACCCCCATGCCATATGATGTGCATTAAAGTCACCACAAATTATGTAAGGTTTGGATATCTGACTTAATAAATCATTCCATTGACTAACAGAAATATTATAGTTAGGTACAATATATACCGAAATTATAGATAGTTGATGTTTTCCTGCACAAAATTCTATACCAGATATTTGGAATTTATTTATATCAATTGTTCCCGTATTAAAAGCTAATACTTTGTTTATAATTATTTCATTCTTAACTAGAATTGCAGTACCACCATACCCATCTTTTCTGTCACTGCGCACAGTCTTATATCCCCTGAGCGAAAATTTCCTATCACTCTTCAACCATGTTTCTGAAAATGTAGCAATATGTACTTTGTTTTCAAATAAGAAATGCTCAATACTACTTTTGTTATGTATCAAAGACCTACAGTTGAATTGTAGAATATTTGTTACCATAAAATAAATTGTAATTGTGATTGTATAATTTTCTTTTGCACATTTTCCATGCGCTCATTAACCTTAATTTCTCTTATTGTTGTCCACATCTCCTTCACTACCTATTCTATTCATTACCTCTCTTAACATTTTGTTGATGTCTTTATTATTAGGTTTGTAGTGTTTTTTAACTAGTTTGATAAATAAATTCAAAAATTCATCGGTATGTTCTTCATTGACGTTCTTTATGGTATCTACTTCTTTCTCTTTGTCTTTGTTATCAACTTCATTCCTAGTGGATACTCGATATTTTTCTCTAAAACCTTCCCTATCTGTATGCACCCTGTTCCTTTCACTTGATTCCCCTTTTGATTTATCTTCTTTTCTATTAATTATATTATTATATTTGGTTCTTTCTTGTTTTTTGGCAATGTTTCTCTTGAAGGGTCTTGTAGATGTACTGTACAATATTGATGTGCTGGCCGATACCGGTTCATCATTGTTATCTTCCAGGTCAGATAAAATTTCAAATTTATTTCTAAGAATGTTGTTGTTAATTTGTAAACTTTTCCTGCTTTCTGTGCTTATCACTGGGAAATTCTTTTCTTTGTCTAAATTGGTTAGACTACCTCTGGTTATTCTGGCATACTTGTTGTTTTCTACAACTGACCTTGCTTCGTGAAAAGCTAAGTTTTGTGTTGCCATTATTTCATATATTTTCTTATATTTCATAAATATTGGGCATTCCCTATTATATGCTGCATGTTTACCAAAACACAAGCAGCATCTTAAATCGTCCGTATTTATGCAATCTTGTAAGGCGTGATTTTCTGCGCATTTTGGACATCTTACCTCTCCTCGACACTGATCACGAACGTGGCCGAATCTCCAACATTTGTGGCATTGTATTACTTTTTTCACGAATGGTGTTACTGGGCATTTAACAGAGTGGATCGCTACTTTTTCTGGTAATTTTGTCCCTTTAAAAGTGAGTTTAACACACTGTGATTTGTATGTCTTATGATTTTCTTTTTTCGATCTTATACATTTAACTCCCACTATCGGATACTCGGATTCGATGACATCCACAATTTCTTCCTCAGATAATTCGCTATCTACGTCAAAAATGATTCCGGTCCGCACCGTTAAATATTTGGGGATATACGCTCTTAGATTATTCGATTTGAAAAAATCACCATCTAATAGTCTATTAGCTGTCACACCATTACTTAAAATCAATTTTACTTTGTTTTTACCAATTACTCCAATTTCTTCCAAATTTGTTTTCATATTTGGCCATGCATCATGAATTTTTTTTCCAAGTGCCATAGGATGCAGGCGTCCTATGTTTTTATTATAAGATTCTACGTATATTATATATGGTCCTTTATCGTAACTGTCATATCGTACTTTATCCTGTTCGTAATTGTCGGGCATCATTTCGTTTTCTTTGTCATTATGTTTTGTTATTTTACTCGAGTCCTCACCACAATTATCAAATTGCATTACGTTATCTAACTCATGAAAGTCATGCAACATTTTATCATTCTGATCATTTATTTCGGTATTACTCGACCCCGCACTAATATTTTCATTGGTCATTTCTTCGTTGTTTGCATAAGTTGTTGTTTCACTTAAATCCTTATCGCACTCATCAAATTGCATAACGCTACTTAATTCTTGACTGTTCCGATTTGCTTCAGTATTCTGATTGATATTTACAATATTCGATACCATAGTATTTCTTTCATTACTTGTTCCATTACTATTATTATAATTTGAAATATCACTATTATTTGTTATCTTAGACGCCGTGTCATTGTTATTATTTCCAACAGTATGTATAATATTTTCGGTTCTTCTAAGTTTGGTTGCACTTTTGCCAATTACTTTATTCATAATTTTTAATTTATTATCTTCCTTAATTGTTTTATTTTTGTTACTGTTCTTTTTATCTTTACTATCTGATATTGCAGAAATTCTGGTATGTTTTTTATACTTATGTAATAATCTGTTCTTAATTACATCTACCTCACTCATGATGCTACTAGGATTTTTGTTTGAATTATAATGTACTTCTAATTCTTCTTCACTAATTTCACTCATTAACATTTCATTATCAAAACTATCATTTATCGTATTCATTGCCGTTGCAATTGTTTCACCGATTACCGAACACTTTGTTGAACAATCGGGCGGCCGTCCGCCTTCTTGTCCGTATTGTCCGGATTCCATTACGTCACTTTTTTAATATATATTCACTGAACACTTGTCGATGTTACCTGCTCCGAGGTCAAACACAAACTCGTCTTAGATCTTTAATAGTTACGATATTCATCACGGGACTGCCTACAATAGCAAAAAGAATAAAATTATTCAATTTATATAGAGTTTTAAATATAAGAAGCATCAGTGACTTATCCTTTTTTTATCATGAATATTCTCGACATGTTGTGTTTTATTTATTTACAATCAAATTTATAATATTGTGTTATATAATACTACAACGGCTCAAAAGGGTGAATAAAATCCTGACTGGATTATCCGCAAAAAGTGTAAGTTTCAAATATTTATTCCTCATGAGAAAATCACCAATGGTTAAGTACGTGGGCGATCCCAAATTCAGCCAGCTCGATATCAAGCAGTATGATACCAAACCAAATGTCCACCTGAGGTTATAGATCTCATATATAATATTAAATAGAAATAGCTTGTTGTGGGAATTTCTGCAACATACATATATCAACATCACATATATACAGTCTAATATACAAAATAAGAGTGGTTGACCGTCGGGTTGCCAGCACGAAAAAAATACTAAGTTGGAATGTACTAGAACATAAAGTTCAAATTATTGTTAAAAAAAATTGTAATCAGTTTCACATCCGCAATTTTTTAATATGATGATTAGCTCGGTGCCACCATTTATAATTTTAAAAAATTCAAAATTTTTGGGGAAAAAGTTGCCGGAGATTTTTCCAGATTGTGAACTTGAACGCAGCTTTTTTAATTTCATAAACATTTAGTAGATATTTATGGTGTATCCTACATAACATGGACCATATTTTTTAGTTGGTATCGAACCTAGGACTAGTTAATGTTGACCCAGACCCTTAACCATTACACCACAACGGGCTAAGACATAACAAATTTGGGAGATAAAATATTCATATTTGAACATAGTTATAAAGATTTGAAAGCAAAAGCAATAATATATTCATAGTTCGTAATTTCTTTAAAATGAAATATTTTAGCAAGTTATATAATATTATTAGTTTGTATTAAATTAACATTTTTCTTATTAACTTCACGTAGAAAAGAAAATGCCATTTGGCAGTCAAAAATGATCATTAGACACATGCACATCAAATTATCAGATATTTTATAGAGATTTTAACAATAAGTATACATTTTGTATAGAACCTATGGGTTCCGTACCAATGTTTATCCGTTAGACGGCGACGCGGCGCTTACGCGCTTTGATATTTCGACTCTATGCAGTTGAACAGTACGATTGCTTTGAAAAAAAGTTCAGAACTTCCAAAATATTTCAAAATAAAAAAAAAACATTTTTTTACAAAAATGTCGTTTTTCCAAAAAATTTGGTTTTCAAAAATTTATAGTTTCTGAAAAATCTAATTCTTTCAAAGTAAATTTTCTTCAAAAATGTTAATCTTATTTAAAAAAATAATTTATGGTACGGGAAGTTCCAGAAATTTGCCTTAAGACACGATGCTATACACCCCACTAGTTTTTTTTTAATTCACTATAAAATTTACAACTGCCTTTAGTCGATATCTAGTAAATTCAGAGACAATATAATTAAATCACATATGATAATAGTACAAGTAGCCAGTGTTACTTCTACTTCAAACACAAAATACATTTGTTTGCATATTTTCCTAATTTAGTAATAAAATATTTTTCACTTTTCAGAACGATAATAGTAATGAAATAGATGTAAAATCTAAAATTGAAAAATTAAGGACGTGTTACAAGTTGCACACAGATTTGTGCAAATCGGCAAGGATTCTTAATCACATATACAATTTACCATTACTTACGTAAGTATTATAACAAACTAAAAATGTTGAACGTATGGTTTATATAAATAAAGCTGCCCCATCAATTGGTGGTTAGAGCTAGAGGCTTTTTTAAATTTAACGAAAAAGCTGAATGGGATGTTTTTCTGAAAAAGCTGAATGGGATGCTCAACAATTAATCAAGAAGGACACGTGCACTATTTTTAATCTTAATAACTAGATGTAACTGAATAGTTAAGAGACCCATAAAATTTTAGATTTTTTTGCCCATGAACCCCATTTAAAGTTTTTGGCAATAATGAATAAAATTTGATTTTGGCTCTTAAGGGGCACAACTAGTGTAACCGCCTAAAAAAGTGATTTTTGGGAATTTATATTAAAAAAAACACTTTATCAAACATTTCAAAAATTTAGAAATATATTTATACATATTTTAGGAATACATAGTAAAATTTTTGAAAAAAAAAATTAAATATTTTTTAAGTTTTCGTTGATCTCAAACGGCGCGACAAAAAAAGGCCCTTCACTGCTGCAGTGATTCCGGCCTTCTACGTGGATGAAATTTGAAAAAAAAAATCTCTTTCAACTAGATAATATTATCTGTAAAATAAACTACAATAAAGAAAAAAATCAAAAATTGACAAAATGACGGCGTTTTTTAAAAAAAAGTCGAATTTTACCCAAAATTTTGGTCGTTTTTGAACTGCCAAAATTCTATTTTTGGTCCGATCAAAAAATCGATAGTTCATTATACGGAGAACTATATATAGAACATGTAAACAAAATTTGATAGTTAGGATCATTTGTTTTTGAGTAAATGGAAATTTTGAGTAAAAGAAAATGCTGTTTCGAGAAAAACGCGTTTAAAGATTAAATGATCGTTATACTATATACTATATATATATATATATATACTCTTAAAACGGCTGTGACTCTGAAACTATTTAAGATATTGATTTGAAATTTTAGTATGTTATTATAAAGGTATAACCCATCGAAATATGGAAAAATTGAAAATTTGATTTTTAGAAAATTTTACACTCATTGTGCCCCTCAATAACATATTAATCTGTATCTATGTACCTATGTGGTTCATATGAGTGTTTTTTTTACATTTTTGATACTGTCAACGACTGAGAACTCATCTAAAAGCGCACAAAAGTAAAAAAAAATCATACTTCTGATGTGTCATATTAAAACATGCAAGAAGTTAAATGTTACGTATAAAACGCCTGATAGCACGGCAAGTACAAAGTTTTTTGGCGGTTTCTAGTACCATTTTATATGAAAAATGCAGTATGACATTGGTCTTTTTCACGGCAAAATTGACCCATTAGTGTAACCTTTCCGTGAGATATGTTACCGAAAAGTGCCCATTTTTTGGTTTATGTCTAAAATATCCCTAATTTACACCTTGTCCATAAAATGAATAGCAGCTTTTTTTAGAGGCACAATGAAACTTATACTATCAGATTATATGTCAGTAAAAAACTTGATATGATAATTTGCAGGGACATTAAGTAAATAATTCATTTAAATTTATTAAAAAAAATATTTTAGTTGGTGACTAATTAATCTTTTATTTTACCTTCACTAGGCGCTATTTCCAAGCAATGATAATACCACTATTAAATAGTTACC